CTTCTTTCTCTCCCAACATGTGAGCTGCAGGAAGGGCATTTTCTAAAAACAAGCTCCATTGAAGAGATAGTCTCCTTATTCGCCCCTGTATTCTCTACAGAGCCAAGCACACAGTAAATACTGATTTAAGGAATCAACACGAAATTGGTTTTTGCAAAGAACTAAATTTTTATTGACTAAATTTCTCCAAAATAACCTCTGCCTTTCAATTGGCCTCATACCTGACTCAAATGATCTTTCAATTTGCCCATTTGTGTGCAAAGTCACTGAAGGCCGCACCCCTAGGGATCCCTTCACCCTGGCTTCCATACCTTATAAAATCCCTTCCCCTCCAGTGTGAGCTGGGTTTAGGATTTCACTTCTAAGGAATAGAAGAAAGTAGAAGTCATGGGTTGTCACATCTGAGATTAAGTTACAAAGAGACTCACTTTCATCCTGCTGATTCTGGTTCTCTTATCTTGACTCAGGGGACTTGGAGGAAGCCAGTCGCCATATTGTGAGGTGCCCATATGGAGATGCCTCCGTGAGGGAGGCTGGAAGCCGATTCTCCCCCAGCAAGCTGTGAGAGGACTGAACCTTGGAGGACGCCTTCACTGAAACCTGATTCAGGGACAGCCTGAATCAGAAATTATTGATTAACCTGTTGCCTGATACCTGACCCACAGAAATGGTGGACTAATAAATATTTGCTACTCCAGATGATAGGTGTTGAAGGAACTTGTGATGTAGCACATTTTTTGATTTGTGCAACTAATACTTAATTTTTAAAGCATTCCTAATGTGAAAAGTTAACTCCAGCTGTTTCTTCCAAAGGCTAATATATTCACAAGTTGGGTTTTTGTTTTTTTTCATTTCTGAGTTAACTTTTGAAATTTGTCACATTTATTTTTGTATGGATGTTAAAAATGGTGGCCAAAATGCAAATGAAAAGGCTCTGCTTTCTAGAAATATATTGTATCAGTTAATCCACATAAGAACCCTCTGAAGTAAGGAGCTATCACCACCCCACATTAAACTATAGAGAAACTGAGGAAAAACAATAGAATTCACTGGATCATGCATCTAGCCAGTAAGTGGATAGTCTGGTTCTAAGGCCAAGGCCTTAATCACTAATCTGTGCTGCATTTACACAAGAAGTTCAAGTGCGATATTAAAACAGGTTCAATTGCCTTCAAAACAAGTCCTAGATTGGCAGATACTTAACCAGGATTAGAGATTTCATTATTAAATGATGGGATGATGTCAATCTTTGATGAATTCTTAAAAGGGTAAATTAGTTAAAGGATATACTAAGTGCTTAGTCTTCTTGGCATATATGACTATATAAACAAAAATATCCAACTAAGACCCTAAATTGTCATTGGAAAAATAAAGCAAAACCTTTACCTTTGAGAGGTGCACTTATTTATTTATTTATTTATTTAATTTTTTTTTTTTAAATAAGTAAATTTTTTTTTAAGATTTATTTATTTATTTATACAGGCACTGGGTACAGTCAGAAGCGCGGGAGGGTGAGAGAATTCACCAGAGCCAGAGCGGGGAGCAGAGCAGGCAGAAGGACCGAAGGACACTGCTGAGGGGAGCAGCGGGCGGCAGGAGAGGTCTGCGCGCCATGTGGGACCCTCCTCCGGTGGCCGGGGAGCAGCCGGGGATCGAACCGGCGCCGCAGAGGCCGCGGGCAGCTTCGCAACCCAGCGCTCAATGGCTGCGCCACCGGGGAGGCCCTGAGAGGTGCACTTATTTAAATCACTAGAAAATCTAAAAGCACTCACTGATCATATTCTTGAATTATTATTTATTATTTTAATCGATCCATTTCAAACTCATTCATAAATGTTGACAGTTATAGAGCAGGTACTGTCACCCAGGCTTATTCCCACCTGACTCAAGATTTCAGCAGCTCCACATAAGGATGCTCAGAAAAAGGGCCTTAGGAATTGTAGAAATAATTCTGAGAAACCCAAAGCTCCCATGTGTTACTGTTATCATAGATGAATGTAAACTCATTTGTTTGACTTATATCTAGGGCATCTGGGCTTAAGTCTTCTTCAGTATTTTCAGTCTGTACAATTTTGGGCAAATCAGAACATCATACTAGCCTCAGTTTCCTCATCTCTAAAATGAAAATGTCCACCTGTCTTTCAGAGATGGGCTACTCCAAATTTGCTGAGATGAACTTGGTGAAAAGACTTCATGAGCTGTGGACTGCAAGTGAAGGGATATTTATTTTTAGTTATTGTCACTGGCAGAAGGGAAATACTGTAGATCTTTTGCATTTCTGCCCCCTCTGGGCACAAAGCAGAAACCTCCAAAATGCACTGCTGTTGTAACAGAGGTTTGGGGTGTCTGGAAGTGCACACCCCATGTGTGCCCGGGGAGCAGCCGTGTCACGATCCCAGCCAGGACCTGCACAATCTCCATTGCTGTCATGGGCAGGAGCAGCTGTGGCTTCTGATTCCAGCTGTCACCCTCCACACTTAATTCAACCTGTTACATCAGAGATAAAAGCACATTTTGCTGCTCAGCCATAGAATCCCAAGCACCCACATTCCTGGTGTATCCCAGGAGAGAGGTGCGGAGGAGACCAATGTGAATGAAGTGGACCCGCCAAGCTGCCATAACACTTGACAGCTGTGAAATGATCCTGCAAATAATCAACTGTGAGGACAACTAGACAGACACCTGACTTTCATAGTTAGAGCTAGTGTATTTTATAACCTCTATATGTGGATGTAGTCTTTGAATTTCTCTGAACCATGAAGAAAAATTGAATTTCACAAAACTACACAGCTAGGATGGAAGAAACAGAGTTCGACCAGCTGACCTCTTCATTTTCAGAGATGAGCACATGGGGGTCTGTGTGCTGTGCCCAACTGCCGAGAAGGACCAACTGTCAGCAGAGATGGGATGTGCACACCCACACCCATCCACTCAGGCCTCCACAAGGACTCCAGTGTGCATTAGAAGACAGAGTATCAAGTGACTTGAGTGTGCATTCTATTTCTGTATTGAGACTTCTATATGTCTGGGTTTCCATAGTCACAATATGCCTAGAAATTCTGGGACTTTCTGACAGAGCCAGAGTCTAAAGTACTTCCAAAGCAGTTTTTTTTTTGTTCATTTTCTGTCACTATTTCCTCTAACCCTAATTGTTGGCACCTAACTAGAAAGAAGATTCTTTTTTGACCTTTTGGGGGGAGACTTATTCAATATAATAAAGTGCCTTCCAAGCGTCCAGATGTGAGTGTATGACATTTCAAATCAGAGTCCAACCAATCCCAGAAACCTGGTTGCAGTGAAAAACGAAGTGACAAATGGACTAAGTAAATGATTATGAACAGGGTGAAAATTCCATTTTCCTACTCAAAATAATGATTTCTTCAATTCAACTTCTGCCATTGTTAGTGGGTTTGCATATTAATCTTCCTGAACATACACCTTCTCTTCCATCTTTAATTTGAATGCTCAAAATTAAGCTATGTGTCAGAAGGCGAGCATTGGCGCTAATAACTCAAAATAAAAGCTTTTTTACAGTTTATAAAGGGGAGGAGATTAACATTTCTCGAATACCTACTAGATGGCAGCCTCTATACCAGGCATCTTTTTCATGTGATGGTTTTTTCTTTAAAACACCCCTCTCCGACATTTATTATTCCTTTGTTATAAAAGAGGAAATTGGTGCTTGGAACAGTTGATGGCAGTGCTGGGGTCTGACCAAACTGACCAAGGCTAAATCTCTCACCTTCCTGTAACACCAAATGGTTTAATTTCCTTCCCAGAAGGAGTTATTTAGAATCTGCAGAATTCTGCCCCTCAACTCTATACATGTATTATGCTAAAGAAATTCAAAAGATCACCTAAATCTGACAGCAATCCATCCAGTGATGATGACAAAAATGGCCATATAACCAGGTACAATTTCACTTTGTGTGTGTGACCTCAGGTGTGTCATAACCACCCTAGAGTTCTAGAGACAGGCCAAGGCCCTCTGAGGCCCTCTGTGGCAGGGATGGGATATGAACCCAGATGCAGTCTGACACCCAGGGATCTGCTTTATCACCCTTCTACACACAGCTGTCCAGTGAAATGGAACACAGCAAGGCCCCTAAAGACTAATCATCAACATTTTTTTATTTCCATTGCTTGATGGAAGACCAAACACTTCAATGTTATAAAGGATACATTGATACTCCAAGTTAACTAGTAAAGCAATCATCATGATTGGCACAGTTCTCCTGGAAAAGGGTAGGGGCAGAATAACCCATTGTACTGTAGTGAACTAGGGGGGTCTTGTATTTCTGAACACGTTTGTATTGGTGACACCAAGCAGAAGCTGCTGTGGAACTGGCCTTTCCTGGACCTTAGAAGGAATGGGCTTCCCAAGCCCTCCCGCTTCCATCACTGCCAAGAGTCTGTGGTCTGCTCTAGGATTCTCTGGCTTAGAAGTTACTTTCCAAGCAAAATTTTAATCAAAATAGGAAAAAATGTTCAATCTCAGACACCAATTTCTCTAGCACTATCTATTTAAGCCTTTCTTTAGAAGGCAGGGACAGCAGGGTGTTTCCAAGTTCTGTGTTAATAATCTTCACTTGTTCAAAGCAGGATTTAGTATCCAATCATTTCTCTTTGGCTACATAATCTTGGCCCATGAAATGTGGCAGTACAGGGTAGTGGTTAGAACGATTCTGGCCCCACACTGCTCAAGTCAGAACCCCAATTTTGGCATGAGCTGTGTGATCAGGGGTCATGTTGTAACCTCAAAATGTCTCAGTTTCTTTATCTGACATATAGAGATAATAGGGGTTCTACCTTGTGGGGTTTATTATAAGTTGGTGACAAAAAGTCTTTAGAACAGAATATGTCCCACAGTAAGCATGAAAATATATATTCTTTCCAACTATTGTGTATACTTCTAGGTCACTGCTTATATCTTAGACACCAATCCTAACTAAATCTGATCAAAATCAGGGTTTCTATGTTCCTTATATGTTGAATGATGGAACTGCTCAATGGAAAGACTCTTCAATCTGGAAAAATCAGTTTAATCAAGTATTAACTATTTATTGTATTGACATAAATACAAAATGTTACAGAGTGAAATACCACTCTAATTCACCATATTACACAAAGACTGCATACAGGCAAGACAAAGTATGTGAAATAAACATTTACTTCTGTCTTTGGTATTAGAATCTACATAAACCCGCAGCATTCAAAATCTTCATTACAAAGTATTAAACAGAGACAAAAATGTAACTGGTGGGGCCTCCCTGGTGGCACAAGGGGTTAAGATGCAGCACTCTGAAGCTATCCGCAACCACTGAAGTATGAGTTCGATCCCCGGCCAGGGAGATGACCCACATGATGCAACAGACTGCTCCTGTCTCACCCCCTGCTCCCCTCATAAGTGTATTTCAGTAGATCTGCCTGTTCTGCTCCCCCCTCTGTATCTGGTGAATCCTCTCACTCCCCACATCTCTGACTTATTCCCCAGCTCTTATATGCATAAATAAAAATCTTTAAAAAAATGTAATTGGTAATGTTGTGAAGAGGGGCTCTAGTATCCTCTGCTGGGAAACCCTCAGGTCATGAAATGCAACAGGCAGACCAAACACCATTTGTGAAGAAGGAATTGTACTGGATAAAGTAAGAAACACAGTATGCACCACAACACTGCACACAGGAACACTCCAATGTGTGTGCCCTGCCCTTTCTGTAACAACACTCAGCTGACAATGACAGACAGGACATTCCCAAGATGCAGGGTTGCAGATAAGACTTTTTAGCAAAGACTCCACTCCAAGAGTACACCTTGAGGGTATAACTTTACTGTACACAACATTTATACAATTCATCTTCATGATCATATACACATATACAAAAACTTAACTAGTTTTAGTAATTGATAATTTTTCTAAAGCACAATCACAGTTTACATAATTCTGAGGTAAAGGTTCTGAATCTATGCTATTTGAGAATTCTGATCCCACGAGGGTCTCTAAGAGGGTATGTGCACACTGAATGTCAAGTTCTGGCATGGGGAGAGGGCAGGCTACGCCTACCACATTGGAGAGATGATCTGAAATGTCAGAACTAAATGTTCCCAGTTGGGTTCTATCAAGTTAATGCTTTAATGCCCTCTTGTCAAACATGAAACATTCTCTGAACCTTGTCAGAACATGACTGCTGGCATGGAGAGCATACTTCATGAGGAAAAGGCCAAGTTAGTGTCTTAACTTGACTGTCTTGACAGGGCACTTGGTGGGCCCCAGGAAGAGCATATTGAGACTCCTCTCAGGAGTCTAAGGGAAGGAAAAAGAAGACTTGGTCAAATAAATGCAGCGATGATCTTTCAGCCAGTTCATATACACCCAGAAAAAAGGTCCTGCTCTTGGGAAGATCCTCAGTAAGAAGGACTTGGAGTCCACGGGGAAGACCAGAACAGGCTAGAAACACTTCTGTCCCAGCTGTGCTCACCTTCCAAAATCCTTAAGAAAGTTGTCTGCCACACAGACCAATGGAACTGAATAGAAAACCCAGAAATAAACCCACAGATTTACGGTCAACTAATCTTTGACAAAGGAGCAAAGAATACACAATGGAGCAAAGAATGTTTGTTCAATAAATGGTGCTGGGAAAACTGGGCCACCACATGCAAAAGAATGAAGCTTGACTATTACCTCACACCATGCAAAAAACCAACTCAAAGTGGGTTAAAGAACTAGACATAAGAACTGAAACTATAAAATATATAGAAGAACATGTAGGCAAAACACTACATGATATACACCTCAGTAACATCTTTAAAGACACATCACCCACAGCAGTGACAGTGAAGGCAAAGATAAACAGCTGGCACAACATCAAATTAAAGAGCTTCTGTACAGCAAAAGAGTCATTAACCAAAACAAAGAGACACCCCACCAACTGGGAAAAAATTTTTGCACACAACACTAATGATAAGGGACTGATCACAAAAATCTACAAAGAGCTGACGAGACTCAACAAAAATAAATAACCCAGTCCAAAAATGGGCAGACAAGCTAAAAAGAAATTTCTCCAAAGAGGAAATGCTAATGGCCAACAGGCATATGAAAAAATGTTCAAAATCACTTGTAATCAGGGAAATGCAAATCAAAACTACAATGAGATGCCATCTCACACCAGTGAGAATGGCACATATTAAAACTAGCAACAAGAAATATTGGTGAGGATGTGGAGAAAAAGGAACTCTTCCGCACTGCTGGTGGGAGTGCAAAGTGGTCCAACCACTTTGGAAAGCTGTGTGGAGGTTCCTCAATCTGCTAAAAATAGAGCTTCCATATGATCCAGCAATTTCACTCCTAGGTATTTACCCAAAGGACACAAAACCATAAATTCAAAAGGACACCTGCACTCCTATGTTTATTGCAGCACTGTATACAACAGGTAAGATATGGAAACAACCCAATGCCCAAAATTAGATGACTGGATCAACAAGATGTGGTACATATACACAATGGAATATTACTCAGCAATCCAAAAAGATAAACTCACATCATTTGTAGTAACATGAATGGAGCTGGAAGGGATCATGCTCAGCTAAATAAGCCAGAAAGAAAAAGAAAAATACTGGCTGGTCTCACTTATAGCAGGAATTTCGAAGACCCAAATAATGGATCAGGAAAAAAACTAATTATAATAAAGTAAAAATCAAAATCAACAGGGAACTATAAACAAGAGACATACTACGGGGGGGGGGGGAGGGAGAAGGAAGTAGGATCAAAACAAGGGTGGTGGGAATTTTATGGGGACTATAAGCAAGATGAAAATGCATACATTGTGCAATGAAAAATGATGTAAAAAATATATAAATTTGAAAAAATGGAAAGTTGTCTGCACTGCTGTAATTGCTCTAGGAAAACTTATGAATCAGAACACATTTCTGATTCCCAGGTCTTCTGTGAGGGAGAGAGAGAAGGAAGAAGAGGCATGTGTTAATTGATGTTGCTTCTATAAAATCACTTACTGCCAGCTCTAGCCCTTGATCCATTTCTGTAATCAATGCTACCTTACTCAGGTTACTTGCAACTATCTAGAAGAAACCCTGCCGAGATGCTTCAGAAAGTGAAGTACTACTTTTCTCAAACAACCCTATGGAATCAGGGGCCTCCCTGGTGGCACAAAGGGTTAAGACACAGCACTATGAAGCTAACTGCAGCCACTGCAGCACAAGTTTGATCCCTGGCCAGGGAGGTAATCCACATGGTGCAGCAAACCTTTCCTGACTTGCCCGCAGCTCTCCTCAGCAGTGTATTTCAGTCAATCCACCTATTCTGCTCCCCATTCTGTCTCTGGTGAATCCTATCACCCCCACACCTCTGGCCTGTACCCCATTTCTTGTATGCATATATAAATCTTATAAAAAAAAAAAACCCTATCGTATCATGACTATTGTGAAGATTTAACATGTGGACACTTTCTTTTATGCATGATTTTTTTCTTTTTTATAAAGAAGCTTGTCAATATAATCAGGATATCACATGAATAATTAAAACCCCTCAGGGATATATCCCTGATGAAGCAAACCTGAGCATTTGCCTCTTATATTTTATCATGAGTAAGATCTGGGAGTGAAAATGTTTGCCAGGCAATGAGTAATTTTGGGAGCAATTTAAGACACATAATGCTGGACCTTCCCTGTCAGCTGTCCAAATGGAAGAACTTGATTTTTTCTTCACATGGGGAAAATTAAACTGATTTTTTGTAGCATCAAAAATTCTGGTGAGGATTGCTCTGCAATATAATATTGGAGGTCCTAGCCAGAGCAATAAGACAAGAGAAAGACATACAAGGAATCCAAATAGGGAAAGAAGAAGTAAACTATCACTATTTGCAGACAATATGATAATATACTTAGAGAATACTAAAAACTCCACAGAAAAACTACTCAAAATAATCAACCTGTTTAGTAAAGTAGCAGGATACCAAATCAACACACAACAATCAGTAGCCTTCCTGTACACAATCAATCAATCCAAAGAAGAAGAAATCAAGAAAACCATCCCTTTTATAATTGAAACAAAAAAATCAAATACTTGGGAATAAACCTAACAAAAGAGGTGAAGGACCTATACAAAGAAAATTATAAAACACTGTTAAAAGAAATAAAAGAAAGACACAAAGAAATGGAAAGACATCCCCTGCTCATGGATTGGAAGAATTAACATTAGTAAAATGGCCATCCTACCAAAAGCAATTTACAGACTCAATGCTATTCCAATAAAAATCTCAATGACATTCTTGAAAGAAATAGAACAAATACTGATGAAATTCATATGGAACCACAAAAAAAAAAAAAAAACAAAACATGAATAGCCAAAGCCCTACTGACAAAAACAAATGAGAATGGAGGTATCACACTTCCAAACTTTAAGCTATACTACAAAGCTATAATAATTAAAACAGTTTGGTATTGGAACAACACAGACACACAGACCAATGGAACCAAATAGAGAGCCCAGAAGTAAAGCCACATGTATATGAACAACTAATCTTTGACAAAGGAGCAAAGAATATGCAATGGACAGTTTGTTCAATAAATGGTGCTGGGAAAACTGGACTACCACATGCAAAAGAATGAAACTAGACCACTACCTTTTACCATGCACAAAAATCAACTCAAAATGGATAAAAGAACTGGACATAAGACATGAAACCATAAAATATATAGAAAAAAATATGGGTAAAACACTACAAGACATACATTTCAGTAATATCTTTAAAGAGTCATCACCCAAAGCAAAGAAAGTCAAGGAAAAGATAAACAGCTCGAATTACACCAAACTGAAAAGCTTCTGTACAGCAAAAGAGACATTAACCAAAACAAAGAGACACCCTACTGATTGGGAAAATATTTTTGCACTCGGGCCTCCCTGGTGGCACAAAGGGTTAAGTCACAATTTATGAAGCTAGCCACGGCCACTGCAGCACAAGTTCTATCCCTGCCAGGCCAAGGAGCTACCCACATGGCACAGCAGACCTCTCCTGACTCACCTGCTGCTCCCCTCAGCAGTGTATTTCAGTCAATCTGTCTGTTCTTTTCCTCGGTCTCTGGTAAATCCCCTCACCCCCCACACCTCTGGCCTGTACCCCAATTCTTATATGTATAAATAAATAAATCTTTAAAAAAAATTTATGCATTCCATACAACTGATTAGGGACTGATCACAAAGATATACAAAGAACTCACAGGACTCAACAAAAAACAAAGAAAACAATCCAGTCAAGAAATGGGTAGAAGAACTTAAGACATTTCTCCAAAGAGGAAATGCAAATGGCCAACAGGCATATGAAAAAATGCTCAACATCCCTTATCATCAGGGAAATGCAAATCAAAACCACATTGAGATATCACCTTACACCAGTAAGAATGGCACATATCAAAAATACTAACAACAACAAATGTTGGCGAGGATGTGGTAAAAAAGGAACTCTCTCTTCTACATTGCTGGTGGGAGTGCAAACTGGACCAACCAGTATGGAAAGCTGTCTGGAGGTTCCTCAGTCTACTATAAATGGAGCTACCATATGACCTGGCAATTCACTCCTAGGGATCTACCCAAAGGACACAAAAACATTGACTCAAAAGAACACCTGAACACCTATGTTTATTGCAGCACTATTTACAATAGGTAGGACCGGGAAACAACCCAAATGCCCAAAAATAGATGACCGGATCAAGAAGATGTGGTATATATACACAATGGAATATTATTCAGCAATCAAAAAAGATAAACTCATGCCACTTGCAGCAACATGGATGGAGCTGGAAGGAATTATGCTCAGTGAAATAAGCCAGAAGGAAAAGGAAAAATATCGGATGGTCTCACTTATAGCAGGAATACAGGGGAACCAAATAAGACATCAGTGTGAAAAAATAATAACAGTACAAAACACAACAAAGCAAAAGCAGACTATTATAAACCAGAGACATCCTGCAGGGGAGGAGGAGGGAGAGGGATCAGAGATAGAGAGGGAGGAGCACAGGAGACTGTGGTGATGGTGCATGGTGCACAGGTGAAGGAAATTCTACAGGGATGACACCTGAGGGGAGGGGTGGAAGCGAACATTGTTTAAAAATGAACAATGATATAAAAAATTAAAATTACAAATAAAATAAAATAAAATAAAATAAAAAATTAGTAATATATGTTTAAAAGATAAAAAAAAAAAAAAATCTGGTGATGGCCTCCCTGGTGGCGCAAGGGGTTAAGACGCAACCTGTGAAGCTGTCTGAAGCCTCTGCAGCATGATTTCAATCCCCTGCCAGGGAGCTACCCACATGACGAAGCAGACCTCTCCTGTCTCGCCCGCTGCTCCCCTCAGCAGTGTATTTCAGTCAGTCTGCCTGTTCTGTTCCCCACTCTGTCTCTGGTGGATCCTCTCACCCCCCACACCTCAGGCCTGTACCCCAGTTCTTGTATGCATAAATAACTATATCTTTTAAAAAAATTCTGGTGAATGGCATGTGAAACCAAAGAAAATACAGCCTCAACATTTATGTATGGCATTCAGGTTTGCAGGGCTCTTCTGGGAAGAAAAGCTCCTGGCTCTGCCCTAGACCCTGACAATGACAGACTGGCAGGCTGTTTCTTGCACAGCTCTAGGCAAGCCATTAATCTGTCAGTACCAGCATCTTTAGAAATTCCAGTATTAAGACTTAGGAGGGGAGAGGGAGGGAGGATGTTGAATAGGCAGAAATGCAGCTTTTTAAACACTTCAGTTAATTCATAATGCTATGCAGGCTTCTGCTTATCCCTTCTCTGAAATTTCTGGTGCAGGATACAACACTGGGTTGGAATTATTCATCCTCTTCCACGTATGTGGATGGAAACCAGCCCACCTAAAACAGAAAAGCAAACAACATAGCAACATGGCTTTGCATCTGGTACTTCAAGCGATTCTACGAACAGCATCTCATTTCCAGAATTCCCTGATTAAACTGGGGTTCTGGGCACATTTTAGGTGGCAGAGATTGGTTTAATGGCTCCTAGAAATCTGTAGAGTGAGTAACAGAAAGGGAAGATTAAAATAAGTTTAAAGGGTGCTCCAATCTGCTGGCACACACATCAGTAAGAGAAATGCAATACGGGCTTCCCTGCTGAACGGTTTCTATTTCTGCCATAGAGCAGGACAGGAAGACTGAGGGACTATATCCTCTTCTTTCCCATCTAGATCAGCAGCTCTTACAGATGATTTGTATTGCTCATAAGTTCATGCCCTGAGACTTAAATGTCCGTAGTGACCCAAAATGTCAACCCTTTTTCAAACAAGTCTTTAAACTTGTCCAAATGAATTTGATTTATGCCACTATCATATGCACTCAAAACATTTTTCTCAAGTGCCTGTTATCAGAGCCAGCACTTTGTGGTGTGAAGGCTACAGTGCCCTCTGGGGCTTTCACCCCAGCACCACAAGGGGTATCAAGGTGAGCTCAGGTGCTTTCGCTCACATGCACAAGTACATCGAGATGGAAACTCACCCGGCCATTGGCTTCTCCTCTCCACCAGCCATTTGTACTCATCTTTGTGTAGATCTTCACCACATCTCCTTTTAGCAGCGACAATTCTCGCATGTCTCTTGCACAGAAGTCATAACGAGCGATGGCGATCCCCAGCACTTTGGGACTTAACACTGTAAAGAAACCATGGGGAGTCAGGGTGGATTTGCAGTTTAACAACCATGAGAGTCTAATCAGATGAATGTTAGAGATGCGATCAAAATGCATAGCCGTGATTTCATTACAGACCAGTGATGATGGGAGCAGAGCTTGAAAGCAGCAGAACTGCTGTTTCAATTCAATCATGTAGAGTGAAGTTCATCTCATAAAGTTTAAGGAGCACCATGGTTCTGTTTTCACACTTTTCATAAGAAGTTCAAAACAGGGACTGGTTTTGTTTAAGATGGTTCATGTCCAAGTAACTATCCAAGGAGACAAAATCTCAAAGAAGCAGCAAAACGTTTCAAATTGATGATCTATCAATCTATTTCTAACTAGAACCTCAAAGGAAAAAACTTTTTTATCTTGTAACCATTTTCACTAAGACCCCAAATAACCAAGTTTTTTGCTCAAAAAGTCTCCTTCTAAATCTATCACTTAAATGGCACTTCCTCACCCCAATCAACATATGCTACAACTCTTTAGGGATAAACTTAATTATTGCTTTTGATATAATTTCACTTATATGAGGAAGCTTCAATCAGGTTTCACAGAAAGAACACACAAACACCAACTACTTATCTTTTTTATTTTAAATAAATCCTGCCTTATAGAAAACTTTTATGAAGGATAGAATCAAAAATAAGAGGTCAGGGTGTTCATCTTCTATATTCAGATTTATTTTATGGTAACAAAGGATCTAAGTTACTCCCTGCCCTCACTCAATGGTCCTGACTCTACTTAAGCTGTGTGTTTGCACTTCTGCAGTGTTTCCTGACACATTTTATATTAACTTTTCTACCTGTTGCTCTTTGAGGTCATAAAACATTTTCAATTATATGTTTGGTGATTCTGAGAATCACTCACCTGGGATTAGTGGGATTTTACAAACCTCAAATGGTAGAGGAACTTAAATATATGAAAAAGAAATAAATGGGAAATGCTCTACATCTGTATTTTTCCCAGTTCCCAGAGCCCAGGCAGATGCAGTTAGGATGTGAGTTACTCTGGAGAGCTGCCCACCTACCAGGCAGGGCTTTGCGCCAACAGTTTTTTTAGTCTTCAGGTGTCAATCATAAGATAAATGAATAGCAATATTGCAGATTTCAGATCTGGACAGCGAGTAAAAATGGGATTTTTTATTTTACTGTTTGGACACATAGCACGTTAATATTTTTCTTACTGAAAATCGTCCCAAGACTGCACGACTCTCATAAAACACCCCAACCATACACTTGACTGTGACCTTGCATTGGTCTCTCAACCCCTTAAGGCCACATTTTTCTCAGTTATAAAATGAAAGGTCTGTACTAGATGACTTCTCAGGTCCTTGTAGTTCTAAATGTTATGATTCTATTGGAACTTCCAGGTTTGTTTAAAAAAATCTGTGAGAAAACATACTTTATCTAGCACTAATGTACTCCCCAACATGTCCCATAAACAGTCATTAAATTCTCTAAGGACAGACATCAAGACCAAAATGCCCATGTACAAACTGATGGGCACAGTCATCCTTTCAAGCAATATGTACTGAAATTTACCCTCTATATTTGGGGACAAACTTAGGACATTGGGTTTCCCTTGATCTTTTCAATGGAAATATGTAAACACTCGCTTTTCTTAACTAAAATTTCTGATCCTCAAGAAAAGGAGTGATTTAAGAGTGCTTCCTCCTTCACTTCCTACTTCTGCCCCCCATCCCTTTCCAACATCTCCCCAAGAGATAAAATAGAAAACGTCTTAGTGAAATACAGAAGACGAGCATACACATAAACCAGAGGAGTGAAATGTCGTGACAAACGATGACTTCATGAGACAGGAGAGGAAGTGCAGGGTGGGAATGTGACTCCAGGGACAGTTTGTGAGGAGATGGATCCACATGAGAAGCCACACAGAAGTCAAAATACTTTATTTGCAAACAGAAGCAAGTTGAAAAGACATATAAAAGCAATAAAGCAGTACCTGACCAGAAAGGAGTGGAGGAAGGGGGAACAAAGCTGTAGTCTGGAGGAGTTACAAAAGAAAACCCACAGAACAAAGAAGGGGCTTAGACAAAGAGAGAAAAAGAGAGAAGCAAAAGAGAATTTAGGTATTGGCAAAAAAAAAAAGTTTCTCAATATAACTAGTTTGCTGTTGATAATGACAAGAAAATTATCACATTAAAGTTGGAATACCAAGCTTTACTTTCACCCACTTCTCTCCTAAGAACGTTTCTAAATGAAGAACAAGACAAACGTTTACATTTTGATTGACATTAGTTCTGCAATTCTATACTACCTATCCTCTCACAGGTGAACACAGCATACCCACTATGTGGCCATCTCTGAAACCATTCATCCAGCAACAGCCTCCTCCTTGAAATACTGTTCGGTTCCCACTTTGTTACATCCAGTCAATTCTTAATATAAAATATGCTTCACATCAAAACAAACATAAAAGGTCTATAGGGTGGTAGCAATGGAATGTGTAAAGCCCATTGAAAATTCTAGAAAACACTCATAAAATTTGTTAGAAATCACCCCCCATCACCCAACCAAGAATGCACATGGTAATTTATTTCCAGAAATAAAAATTATTCCAAATTGCATCCTATCTGGCAAAAAAAAAAAAAGTGAATATACACCACATATTGCAAGAGTATAAAAAGCTCGATGCATTTGAATACTTAAAAAACTTTTTGCTTTACTCCTAATAAGAGGAAAATTTACCAAATGATTCTGAAGTGTTGGGCACAATGCTCAAATATTTTATATTCAGTATTTCATTTAACCATCACAACAACTTAAAAAGAAAGGCACTAATACTATTTCCCCTTCGTATTCAAGAAAAACCTAGATTCAAACTCAGGCATTGTGACTCCAGGGTTCAGAGGCTGGCATTGCTCTGCATTTACCAGCCTGCTTCAGGCACCTGGGGGCAGGTATACAACTACCTGGTAATAGCGCTATTCCATTGCAATGGAAAGAGAAGGCATGGTTACAAATTTGCTTCCAATATTTAATCTCCCATTCAATAGATTATTTAGTTTGACTATGTTTGCCCAGACTTCCTGCAGATTGATGTGGCAACATGACGAAGTTCTGACCAATGGAATTTAAGCAAAAGTATTATAGGGTAGCTTCTGGGTCCTTTCCTTGAAAAGCAGCTGGCACAACCCTTGGTTCTTTTTAGCTTTTCATTCTATCGCCTGGGATGTCAAAGCTGCCATCTTGGCTCACGAGCAGGAAGGCTTCATCTTAAGGATGGCAAAGCATGAATTTGAAGGAACCCACGTTACTGAAGATTTTACAGAACAGGGATGACCTGCCTCTCTCCACAGCCCTGGACTGGCTACTCCCAGGTGATTATGGGAAAGAGAAATAAGTGTCTGCTTTGCTTAAACCTATGGTTCTGGGATTTCTGTTGCTTGGATCTAAAATAAACGATAACTGAAAGTTTTCTGCAAACAAATCTTAGGTGAAAGTGGGCTGAGCAAACAGCCCAACTGGTCTTCTCACTTCCAATTTTCTTGCTTTCCATTTTATTCTAAATACTCTTAACTATTTACCCTAAACATCATCAGGAAGCCATCATTGAGTTCCTAAATTATGAAATCCAAACTCTTGACCTGCATTGCATGGTGATTCATAGTTTGATAGCATCAAACTAGTTAACCAAATTTTCTGTAATTAACCCAAACACATTCTTTTCACCCAGACCAGTTTTTAAATACCCCCTAAGGCCCTTACCTTCATTTTCAACTCAAAGCTTCTTCTCATTTTGAAATGTGCTTCTTTACCTTATCTCTGCTAATCTTACCTCCTGTGGTCAAAGCTTAGTTCAATGTTTTCCCAGGAGTCTTCCCCAACCAATCCAGACAACTCTTGTCCCTTCTCAGTCTTTTCTAGCATCAGTGAGACATTACATCATGGCATCTCCTGGCTCTACTGTTTAATTACAGAATGTGCTCCTGTGTTGTATGTCCAATTATTTGTTTGCTCTGGGGAGCAGGGGCCAGCTCTTATATTGCTGTGCAGCCCCTCAGGATCAGGTCCAGGGCTAAGCAATGAAGTTGCTGAATGGACAAGTGTCTCAGCAGGGTATTTAACTTTGCAAGCTCCCAGGTCTCCTTCTCATATTCATTTAACTCATTTTTTGCTCACTTAATTGCTCAATAAGACTTCCAAGAAAGCTGGCACAACACAAAGGAGAGAATGTGAAATATGTTCATATCTTCTTCCCCAGAAAATCTGATGATAGCCTTATCAATGATATCCCTACAATAACTGTAATTTTTTCTAAGATGAACAGCTATTAAATCCGGTATGTGTTATGGCAATAACCACAAAGTTTGTCTGGGTAACCCTCTAAGAAGTAAGAAGTTAATCAGTTTCTCCTGCCACCCAGCCTATAGCTCTTGGCCAAATATTTTAAGAATTGGTGGGATAATCTCTACTTTCCTACACATTGTAACATGACTTATTGTTTCCATTCTTTCTTACATAATCTTTCAGTATCTTCTAGCCCTTGGTTCTCTGGGGTATTTGAATGCCTGGCACCTATGGAGACAGTGTATAAGATAACATGTTTCCCAAGGAAAGTATGGATTTAAATTTAGATGTAAGCATTTCCCTGATTACAAGTGATGTTGAACATTTTTTCATATGCCTGTTGGCCATTTGCATTTCCTCTTCAGAGAAGTTTCTTTTTAGCTCTTCTGCCCATTTTTTGACTGGATTATTTTCTTTGTTTTTATTGAGTTTCATCAATTCTATAGATTTTGGTGATCAGTCCTTTATCATTAGTGTTATGTGTAAAAAACAACCCAAATGCCCAAAAATAGATGACTGGATCAACAAGATGTGGTACATATATACAATGGAATATTACTCAGTAATCAAAAAAGAGAAACACATGCAGTTTGCATCAACATGGATGGAGCTAGAAGGGATCATGCTCAGCAAAATAAGTCAGAAAGAAAAAGAAAAATACCGGAGAGTCTCACTCATAGCAGGAATTTAGAAAACCTAAATAAGAGACCAGGAAAAAGACTAATCAATACAAAGTAAAAATCAAAATCAACAAGCAACTATAAACCAGAGACACATGGGGGGGGGGGGGTGGGAGGGGTGGGGAAAGGAAGAACTGGAGTCAAAATAAGGGGGGGGGTGCAATTGTATGGGGAATATAACCAAAATGAAAATGCATACATTGTGCAAAGATGAAAAAAGATGTAATAATTATATAAAATAAAATATTTAAATAAAAAAATAAATTAAAAAAACTGAAAAAAAATTTAGATGTAAGCAATGTCAGAATAATGTATGTGATGAAAATATTTTGTAGAATGATTTACTTATAACGTATATTCACACCATAATGAGAATATATCTACCTATTTCTATACATAGAGACACAATCAAGTTTTCTTGATTAAACTCTTCCTGCTATTACCAAGACACTAAGGTATGATTTTTGGTAGGCACATATCATGGAATGGAATTAGAAACAGCCCGGCAGCAGTGACAGTGACATACTACTTCCTAGCCCTTTCACTTCCTGATCAAATAATCACTTCATTACCAAATATTATAGATAGGTTGCTTGCCTACATTATTTGGAAAGCTTTTGAGAGAAAGAGCCCTTTTATTCATATCAGTATCCAAAGAGATAATATGAATTCAATGTTGAGATCTTTTTCATTGAAGAAATCATCTGCCAACTGCATGGTTTAGGTAAGAAACTAGCTTTCCTCCTTCCTCAAACACTTGAAATTCCTTATCAGATGACAAAGGAGAACCTTGCTCAGAGACGCCATCACAACACAGGTTCTCTGGTAATTTGTCATATGAATGTACCTGGTACTCAATCAGGCTAATATTCACAAACACTAATAAAAGATTGGCACATAGTTTAGTAATTTCAATATTTCTCATTAGGAACTACTAATAATAGCATCAAATAGGGCCTCCCCTGGAGGCGAAATGGTTGAGCACTGGGCTGCGAAGCTGCCTGCAGCCTCTGCAGCACCGGTTCGATCCCCGGCTGCCCTCAAGAGTCCCACATGGTGCGCAGACCTCTCCTGCCACCCGCTGCTCCCCTCAGCAGTGTACTTCGACAGTCTGTCAGTTCTGTTCCCTGCTCTGGCTCTGGTGAATCCCCTCACTCTCCTGCACTTCTGACTGTACCCAGTGCTTGTATAAATAAATAAATCTTTAAAAAAAATAGCGGCCTCTGCGGCGCCGATTCGATCCCCAGCTGCTCCCTGGCCACCGGAGGAGGGTCCCACATGGTGCGCAGACCTCTCCTGCTGCCCGCTGCTCCCCTCAGCAGTGTACTTCGGTCCTTCTGCCTACTCTGCTCCCCACCCTGGCTCTGGTGAATTCTCTCACCCTCCCGCGCTTCTGACTGTACCCAGTGCATGTACAAACAAACAAATAAATAAATAAAAATAAATAAATAAAACATGCCTCTAAAAAAAAAATAGCATCAAATATTACTTACGAATGTTTCTAACTTATACAAATAAAATCTAAATTACTAACATTGTCTAATTAAAAGAGAAGTTATCTGTTAAGTAAATAACCTGTTAAGCTAATTGAGAATAGAAGCTGTCAGCATAGTTATAATCAATTGATTACAAATTATTAATGAGTATTATTCAGTTTTGAGACTTGATGGAAAAGATAGAACCACAGAACTCAGAAGCATATTAAATACAGTGTTTATAATAGAATTTTTAAAACTACTAGTGAATAGATATCTGATACCTATACTTTTGTTGTCAACTCTCAACTCTGCTTGAAAGTAATATGTTTTGTCTTGATCAGGCTATTGATGTTCATGAGCAAATGAAAATCTACTCAATCTTCAATAACATTTGAAATTTGTACACAGTAGAGACTACACTCCATCAAACACTCTTTCTTTAAGGTACTGGTTATCAAATCACAAAACATTTGAAGTTCCATTTAATTATCTACTACCTGTATTAGTGACCATTTACCTTAAGCATTTGCTAATTATTCTCTGGGTTACACATTACTTAACTTTCAGTCTTAAGTTGCAACAACCACATGTTTGCCCTCATTTATGTAACAAAGCTTTGTTAGTAGAAATGTCAGACCTGGGGCCTCCCAATGGTGCAAGGGGTTAAGACACAACCTATGAAGCTACCCACAGCCACTGTAGCAGAGTTCGATCCCCAACCAGAGAGCTACCCACATGGCGCAGCAGACCTCTCCTGAGTTGCCTGCTGCTCCCCTCAGCAGTGTATTTCAGTCAGTCTGCCTGTTCTGTTCCACCCTCTGTATCTGGTGGATCCTCTCACCCCCTCACCCCCACACTTCTGGCCTGTACCCCAGTTCTTGTATGCATAAATAAATAAATCTTTAAAATAAAAAGAAATGTCAGGCCATTGCACCAATGGTATTATTAAACCCTGTGAGTCTCCTGCCCAGCAGTGGCATGGATGTTTTCCTAAAGAACGATACTGTTACATGGAACACTCTGATGATAGCTTCAGGAGATTCTTTTCACTAACATTGTCTGCAGGTGGACCAGCAACAGAGAGCATGCTGAGAATTTAATGCAACTTTGATTTAAATTTGTGATCCTTAACCTGGTTTTAGTTTAAAACTTAGGCATGTCTTTTTAGACTCCCAGCAACATTTATGGACACAGTATTAGAATCTTCTCCTCTATCTTCCTCAAATAAAATAAACTAAACCCCCTTAGTATAGTACTTATTGTACATTTTATATCTTGTCACTGGAAAAACCTAAGAATCACTCTGATTCATCTCATTTCACTGTTAAAATCTGGTAACTGCACACATTTTTAATCTGAAATTCAAAATCATCAAGGAAAATACCTCTAGATTGGAAAAATAAATAGTTACTTTGTGTCCAGTGTTGCACAGAATAAACTTAATATGCATAGTAAAACCTCAATAGAAACATTAATTCATTAGCAAGAAAATGAGTAAAAGGTCTTTCCTATTGTTATGGAAATTGTATCACTTGACATTTCTGGGGATGTCAGATTATTTACAGGCTTGGGATTTACCAAGATGTTATGGAAATTGTATCACTTGACATTTCTGGGGATGTCAGATTATTTACAGGCTTGGGATTTACCAAGATGTGACTCTTTAAAAATAAGTGTCAAATCTTTATTAAATAACCACTAATGTGCCACTTGCTGTGCTATGGTGCTATAGGAGATATAACAAATAAGACAGAGCATCTGGCTTCAAAGGACCCTACAAACTGGTGAACAGACACACATACAGAAATGACATAGAGATAAAGAAATTATTTATTTGAGTTGAGTACACTATGACTAGACTTCAGGCTCCATTTGAACCCTCCCTAAAAAAAAAAAAAAAAAAAAAAAAACTAAAAAACTACAGTCTTTCAGTTGGTTAAGCTAAAACCTTAGTGCCATCCTTGAATCTTCTGCTATTTTATCTCATATATCAAAATATAAACACCTGTGTGGCTCCATGTTGGTTGAAGCTGCTACCATCTCTCATCTGGATTGCTGCATGAACCTCCTAGGTGGCCTTCTTGGTTCCACTTCATCCTACTTTATACTATGGTCTCTCTCAACATAATAACCAGAATAATCTGGTTAAAACTTAAAGACTAGGCAGCTCTGTGTTTTAAGTCCATTCAGTGGGTTCCCATTCCTTCCAGGATAAAAGTTAAAGTTCTATAAGGCCTGACATGGTCTGGCCTCCCTGACCTCTCTGACTTCTCTACTACTCTTGCTCTTGTGCCTTCTGTTTCAGCCACACTATGCATGTCCTATTATTCTTTTTGTTGCCCTGATGGTTCCCGCTCTCACCAAATTGAGTCTTTATTCGAATGTTACCTTCATAGTGAAGAGGGTACCCTGATGCCCTGTAATGGAATCAAGTACACACAACACTCGTGTCATATGGTAGAAAGAGAAAACTGGGTTTATTGTGTGGGAGAGGGATAACATACAAGCAGAGTAGTGGGCAAAGTGCACACAGCCCACCTAATTCCTGTTGTCCTACAGCTTATGTTGGGCACACACCATGGTCAGCATCCCAGCAGCCTGCTCTAAATGATGAAAGAAAGTGTTCGTGACTCATAAAACTTTATCTTCAATCCAGACCACTCTTCTAGGTGTCAACTGCCTACTGAACCACCGAATCTTGGCATTTTCCTGAACAATTTTAGAATACATTGCAGACACACTGTCCTTTAGGAAGGTATGCTTACTAAAAACACAGGTATATATTTTTTATTATATAGTCACATACAACTGACAAAAGCAAACATTAAAATAATTTAAAATTCCTTAATCTGGAAACTTATTCGAAATCTGTTCATTGTCCCATGCATCCTCTTTACAGCAAAAACAAAAACCAAAAAAATAATTTCCTGGCCCAGGATTCAGTCCAGGACTATGTGTTGTATGCAGATATCATTTCTCTTTAATCTGAAACAATTCCTTAGTCTCTTTGTCTCTTAAGACACTGACATTTTTGAACAGGATTGACAAATAATTGTGCCAAATGTCCATTAATTTGGGTTTGTTTGCTATTTCCTCATGATTAGATTCAAAAATATGCATTTTAGGGCAGGAATATCACCAAAGTGGTGGTGTGTCTTTCTTGAGCATCACATGAGGAACCAGACATCTATTTGTCCTATTAGTGGTGATCACATGATGTTTCTATTTTTCCTTTAGTAATAAGTTCTTGTGAGAAAATACTTTGAGATTTTGTAAATATTATAATCAATTTTCTTTTTAATAGCTAACTTTATTCTGGTCCAACTCAGTTCCCATGAATAGGAACTTGGGAGACTGTTTAAGGGCTGCTCATGGGTCATGGAATAGCTAATCAAGCAACCATTCCTAGTGCATGGTCTATTAACATTCTACCTTATCTCCTCTCATGCATACAAAGAAAGTAACCTAGGATGCTATTTTTAAAAGAACATAATAAAATATCTAATCTCATTCCTCATTCATTAGACCAGAAAGCTAAGGTCTAGACAGGCTAAGTGACTTGCCTAAGGTCAGAAAGCTTACTTAGTAGCAGACCTGAAAATAATTAAGTGCTCATTGTAGAGCAAGAAAGACAAAAGTCAATTCAGTGTCCTTCAAATATACAAACCCTACAGGTATCCCTGAGGCAGCAATCTAAGGCAGGTTTGCTGTGATCACATTTGGAAAGTAATGGAAGTTTAGATTCTGTTTTGATTCACAGATCAGGAGAGAACATTTTCCATGGAGCCAATGCAATTTCTAGGGAATCACAACAGCTCACTGCTTTGCCTGAGTTCTCTCTTTGTCCTCTTCTCTTCCTTGATCATCCTTTCTCTCTCTTGGAACACTCATCCCAAAGGCAAAAATTAAGTCTCGCAAATATCTGAGACTTATGGGACAAGTCTCTGGGAAAAAGCCTTACCCACAATGAGTTTCTAACCTAGAAATGCTATGTGCTCCTTGCACAAAACCCTAACTCCTATTTAAACCTAGTCAATATCATGTATATGCTGCATGATGTTTGCATGTATATACTGCATATGTTTCCATTATAATCATATCATATTTTATAGACCTAAAAAAAACCTGGTAATCTGCCCAAGAACATTCACTCCAAACTAATACAAAAGATATAGTCTCTACAATGCTGTGGGACCTTCTTTTTCAAGGTGGTTATATTATTTAAGAAAAAAGCAAATAAATAAGGTCTTAGGAGTTGGCACTCCATTCTCAATCTCTCTTGAGAACATAGGGTGGTCCTTAACTTTAGTTTGCATGCTCTGCTTCCTCTAAGGTCTCTTAGAAGTAATGGTGATGTCGGTGCCCTGTCCAATCTAGTATCTCAAGGTAATATATCTAGCTATGTTATTTTTAGATGATATGTAGCTGCATATCCAAAGTTATGATTCAAACATAAGGACTATCAACATATCCTGCACAATTTTTCTATAAAAAACATGCAGCATTTCTTCCTGACCATTTCTAGGGCAGCACAATAAAATCAGTCTTTCAGTTAAAGGGTTAACCCTTAATCAGGATTTGGTATAAAATAGAAAAGTATATTAAAACTCATAAAAGTAAAGATGTAAATTGTTATGAGTTTAAATTAGAAAATGTATTCAATTCAGAAATATAAGAAAATGTTTGCTGTATAAGGAATACTAGTTCATACTTAAATAAATATTAATCTTAAATTCATCAAAAAAAGAGGAGGAGGAAGAGTAGTAGAAGGTGAAGTGGTAGAGTAATAGTAGCTGACTTTCACTGAATGTTTACCATTTACCGAACACTATATTAAATACTATATATTTAGCACCCTATTTAAACCTCAGCGTCACCTTAATGTTGTATTTTTCCATCAACTATCCATTGACTCCAGTGTTTAAAAAAATGGCCACAGTTGCATAAAATATTATTTCATGAATAGTCAGTATAAAGAAAACATTGGATAGCATCAGAAATTTGTTCTGATTATAATCCTGTTAGATGGTAATGATGTGTAGACCTGATGTGTGGACCATAGCTTATTACTGATTGACACAGTAACTGACTCCCTCACTTCTTTGTGATCACTTTGAGTGACATGTCTGATCACCCTTTATCAAAACATCAAACTCCAACAATCCAGACTTTCCTGTCTTCTTATTACAACACAGGTTTCATGTGGACAGCAACATCCCTTCTCAAAGCTACCTCCCAGTGCCTTGTCTGTATTATGTGGTTAATGAATATTTGTTGAAGGAATAAATAAATGATTAATTGATGGGAAAGAAGCAAACTCTAACAAAGATTACTTTGTAAATGAATAATTTGCTCTTCTTTCTTGATTTAAAAAAAAAAAAAAAGGTTTTTTTTGGCATGACTTGCCAGAATCTGTTCAAAAGATTGGCCTGGGATATTTGACTCTATTTGTTGAAAAATTTCCCTGTAGTTCACAAGGATGTTGAAAATCATTCTGTGGGCTATGCTTTTTCAAAATAAAACAAAAGGCCTGTAAGTCCCTTCCTAGTTACTTAACAAGTTTAATCATTAAATATTTAGCTAAACACTAGAGATAACTTTATATTACGTGACTTCCTTCACTATTGAACAACATTCTCTGAGCATCTACATGTGCCAAGCAGAGAAAATGCTTGAGAATAACCAACCACATAGTGAAATGTGAAGGTTAATGACCGTCTGCTAATATGGGACACTTATTCTCCCTGACAGCCAACCTCTCCACCTTGGTTCTCTAGAACTAAGTTAACAACTTAAACAAATAGGATTTTTAATATAACTGACCTCCTTGGCAACTGTTATTATTTCCTGCTGCTGGGAGGGGCCAAGAAAAAGACAGATAAAAGTTATATTTTTCATGTAGGGAAAAAAAGTCCTCACTCTGTTGGACCTTTAAATAAATGTGTTAGAAAATTGATTATCAAGGGAAAACTTATCTTGTTTTTTTAATCCCTCCATTAGTTTATTTTTTCATTTTAAAATTGTTATAGGGCAGGAAAAGAAGTACCCCAGGACCCTCAAATCAGCTACAAAATGACTCTAAGTTTGTTCGTTAACCAGCAGTCATTTACTGGGTGCTTATTCTATGCCATATGTTGAAATACATCATGGAGAATTCCTGTCTTCATGAGGTATTTAGGGAGAAAAATATAAATAGAATAATGACAACAGTGTCTCAGGTGCTACATTAGATATTTGAGTAGCATACAGTGAGAAGAAAAAGGAATCATGACTTTTTATGGGGAGCATGGCTTAAAATAGAACAATGGACTAAAAAATAGAAAGATAAACTTTATTTGTTGTTTTAAGTTTCAACATAAACTGTACTGTGACTGCTATGACTGCACAAGTTCACGAATCTTTTTGAAAGGAAAAGCTATTCAGTTATTCATTTTTTTAAAAAACCTCTCAGTTGATGTGACAAATTACTTATATATTTACTTAATTGGAGTGCATGAAATTCTACTAATGTTGTGAGAGCTCTGAGCTTTACCTGTTTTCTTGTCAATTTCTGCTTTTAGGGGAAAATCATTTATTACACTGATATAAATTTCTTTTTTTGAAATACCCCTAGATATGCCAGCTTTGCTTAGGCCAAAGATTCTGAAAGTAAAAAAATGGATGCATTTCTTTTCTGAAACAGTTTTACTTTTCAAAAACATATCAAAATAAGAGAATGAAATCACACTTTATTCACGTTTTTCATCACAATGTTCTCTTTATCAGCTATATCTACCTCTAGGAAGATTACATGACATTAACTGGTGAAGAGAGGAAAACTTTCTCACTTCAACTCACCCTCAAGCATATTTTTATTTGTGTGTTAATCTTTTCTGATTGATTGTAAACAGCACTCATTCTGAAAGTGGCTAATGTGTGCTTCTAGAAATACAGGCATCAGATAAAAAATGTTTTAAGTCATTTCAAAATTTCAAAAATAATCTTTAAAATAGAATCATGTGCAGACTTGGGGTACTAGGCTGGATTGGAGATTTGTGCATCCATTTGTTTGTTTTTTTAAATACTGTTAACAGCATTACAACCACAAATATGTATAAGATAGAAAGATTTGGCTAATGTGAAAGTCAGTGAAATAAAAACTTAATGTTAACATACCCTTTACATAACCCTAATGGGTTTCTGACACAAACATGACTTTTAGTTTAGCACAAAAAACTATATCTAGACATGTTCATAAACCTGTTGGTACATCTGATTCTGCTTTCACGCTAGAAAAATTTCCTACTAAATACATTAGCATATTAATAAGTTGTATTTCAAGATTTAGAGGAAGGTGACTAATGCTATTGCACCTCTGATCTTTAAGTGACAGCAAATCATATTCTAAATTACAATACTCACAATTGCCTGTTCTATTACCCCTCTGTGTGGCTGAATGTTCTGGCTCCTTATATGGAAATTGTAGGGTCGTATCTAAGGTTCGGAACCCTTCTTTAAGAGAATGATGCTTGTAGTACTCCACAAGTTCCTTTAGGAAGAAAGAAACAGGATTATTTTTCATAAAGATCGTTCTGTACTCAAACACATGAACTCCTTCCCATAACTATATCCAACATAAGAATGACTGACTTGAAACTAAATTTTCCATAAGTAAATAGAAGAATAAGTAAATGATCATCTTTCCCTGCTGCTTGGATGTGGGACACCTACCTAGCAATTGTCTTTGTTATTCAAGTCATTTACAATGTGTGTTACCCCCTATTGTTATTCATAGATAGAGAACATCCTGTTAATCTGCAGTCAGATGGGGTAAATGAAAGGAAACCATATAAAACCTCAATTTCCAAGCAGTAATTATTGTTCTTATTTATGAAATACTTGCCTTTCTAAACAAAAATAAAGGGAGCAGCTGGTTGCTGAATATATAGCAATTTCTAGTTTCCTTCATTTTTGTTCAACATGGCAGAAAAACAAACTTGATCCTCTAAGTTCCTTTCCATGGTAAACCAAAGTTGATAAACCCCAAATGCTACTTGACATGCTCTGGCTGACAATGAATCTGCGTATCCATCTCCTAGCTCTGCATATCTGCTAACTTAGAGTCAATAATAGTCTTTCCAAGTTCTTCTTTGACCAAATTTGCCTTAAATACAGCCAAGCCTTATAATCACCCACTGTCTTTCATACTAAAATATCAGGAAATCTCTTTTATGATGTTGGTTTTCATAGATTCTGCACAAATCTGAATCTTTCTACTTAAAATAGAAATTCACCATAATTAATTCATAATGGAAAAATGCATGCTATCATTACAGTCCTGTAGATATAAAATGACTTACAAATACCTGAAATAGAAAGGAAAATCACTTTTAACCTAATTATTTGGTTCCTCTATTATAGCACTGTTTTTGAAAGCAAAATGTATAAAAGCAACTCATTTTTTTTCTAAAAATTGCTCTGCCACCAACTCAATACCTCCATTCAATAGTTACTGATGTTGTTTTGATGTGATGTTGGGTTCAGTGAACAGGGTCCTTGGGTTACCCCTAAGAAAAATTTCATTAGAGTTCCCCTTTCAGGGGCACATGACAAGTTCCCCTATGAGACAAATATTTTTGATTAAATCCACAAGGGCAACTTATAACTTAAAAAGGAAAAGAGAAGAAGACACTTGCACAGACGCAAGCAGGCAGAGAGCCGCTTTTGGAAGGGACAGGCTTGTTCTGATATAATCTTCTCTCTTTGGAGAGGGGTTCATTCCTTTATGGAACTGTTATTTATTGTTAGAATAATTACTTCTAGGGTATGACCAGGCTGATTGGTAGGGACTGGTGCTACTCAATAAGAGTCCTCAATCTAGACATCTCCATCCCTGGTCCACACCTATGGCTGTTTTCCATAGCAGGCCTCTGTAATGGCTTGAGGATTTTTCATTTCTGTAGTTGGTTCAATCATGATGTTAATCATCTCTACCCCCACCTTCTATTTCTGGTCTTGTGATGTCCCCGTCCCAAGTTTTCTACTCTAAGCCTCCAACAGTTATGTTCAAAGTTTCCAAAACAAATCAACCAGACCCAAAATCACCTGAAAGAAGAGAGAGAGAATCACCAACGGTTTGTTTATTATTTATGATCAAACTCAAGGAGTTGTGGAATGTGTGCTATATGGGGAGACCCAAGGGTCACAAAGATTATGAAGAAGAGGCTTCTAGCTCTCCATGAAGCCTCACCCTTGAAAGTAAGCAAGGGGTTATGGGAATTCAAAGGCAAGAGAAGGACCTTTTGTGACTGCAGTGGGAGGATGAGGGAAGATTTCGTGGATGGAGATAGCTTGACTTCAAGAACTGGAAACATTTTCAAAAGTCTGGAAGATGGGAAGGATCATTTTAACTACAGCAGTCAGGCTGGGAATAGGCTCAAAGGTGACAAAGTCCACATTTATAACCTACAGGCAGCACGGATTCGCTAAAGCATTGGATAAAGTAAGCAGGGTCTCTTCAACTTCCAAATCCATATAATGAGGATAATAAACTATTTCACAGTCTATAGTCAAATGTATAGGATGAGCCTGGTATATGTGAGTAATTGTAACAGTTACCAACACCATAGGCCAGGCCTTTAACATAGTTCCTCAAGATCTTCAAAGGGGAAAAAAGAGAAAGGCCTTGTTCCCAGTAAGGCTCGAGTCTCTGTGAGGTTGATCAGTTGTGAAGGTGGCAGAGCTGGTATCTGTCTCCAAAGTGGGTGCTTTTACTTACACTATACTATAAGCAAACAACATCTGGAAAGGTAAATACACAAAAGAACATTTGCTAAAATGGCCATGATGTACAAATAATGTTGTTTTCCTAAACCTAAGTTGTTAGGGTTTTACATACATAATATCTATAACTTTGTAAAATAATATTTTTTTTCCATGCTCTCTTCTTCCTTGCATCCAGATTATGGGGTTTTGAGGAAGCAAAGGAATTTGAAATCTGGCCAATTAAAGAAAAAAAAAAAAACCAGACAAAATACCAGCTAGATATATACCTACTTAAATTGGCTTCAATAATCAGAACATGGCATTTATAATTATGGTGATTTTTAATATGGTCCACAAGGGCAAGGTCATAATATAAATTCTCAGAGATTAATATTTACTATTTATTATTTTTAAATGAAAAGAAAAATTTTATAAGGTTCTGGAAAAACTGTACTTGTATGTATTTTGTATATATTATATTGCTCATGCAAATGATACCAAAGGCCTGTTCTCATAGTCTTATTATTTAAACTGAGTAAAATCTGTTCTTGTGGCAAAAATATGAGAATAAACCTGAAAAATAATTATAAGCTAATAATTTTGAATGTCAGTATAATTTTATTTTGAGATATGAATTTTACACATATTATGAATTAGTATGAATTAAAGTTCCTGTGAAGTTCACAATCACCACACTGAAAAGGACTTGGTGATCATTTCATACCTGCCCACCTCTACATTTTAAGAAAGAAAAAATAACTTTTACAAGGCCTAGGGTCATGCTAAAGGCTTAGTAACCTGCAAAACATTCTTTTATCACTTCACTAAGCATGAAGATATTTTAGTTCCATTTTTACAGTCTTATGAGGGTAAATCTTCCTACGTGTTTCTAACAGGGTAGAATTAAATAGTGCCACTGTGGATCTTTTCCAACTTATGACTTTATGCTTTCTGTATTTTAGTCTAATCCACCCCTGCTTTAGCAGTCATTGACCTTCAGGTACTACAAGTAAATAAGAAGGCTCTAGACAAAAGAACTCACTAAGCTTTCCTTATCTCACACTGACACAGCAGTGTCAACAATTCAAGTCTCTGAAAAATAATGAGTGAGAGGCAGTCATTTCAATTACCAAGGAAACAGGCAATGAAGATGATTTATAAACAGCATTTGGACATGGATTGTCTGGCATACATGAAAATTAGAACAAATTTAATGCCTTGTAATCTGGATACAGAGATTCGGAATTTGAATTTAATGGCAAAGAAAAGCAGAGATTTTGATTAACCAGGTTATTGAAACCCAAGGAAAAAAGGTTAGGTCATAACCACCTAAAGCCTATCTTCTCTTTGAAAAACTGGTTAATTTAAAGCACATCCTGGAGTTTGCTTGCATTTTTCATTCTTTCCAAATTAAAATCGAATTCCAGGGCCTAACAAGTTTCATAGGTAGAAAAATACAACTGTACCACCCATGATAGAAGGACATGGAACTATTCTGAAGAAACAATCCCAAAACACAGACCACTATTTATCTGTAATGGGAATTGTGCTATTTGATTATAAAGGATATAAGATGTGATATAATGTGTGTAAGGCATAGGATAGAAGGTAACTGGTTCACGTTCCGTGATGTAGAAGCGCTTAACTTTGCCAGAGTGCAGTCAAAGGAGCTTCATGAGCCCCTATGCCCTCCCAAGGGGGCTGGTTACTGAACCAGCAGCCTGTCTTGGGATCCAGGACCCATGTATTATTTCCCAGCTTTGGTTCAAAGAACAGCACTACAATATGAGGTTCTTGGAACAGATGGATGTACTAATCTGAAAGACTTTTTAGAGTAGTTGAGGCCTTTGTGAGTTCTGCAAAAGCACAGTGATTTCACATAGTAAGGGTTCAATAAATATTTGTTCTGCAAATGAATAGAAACAAGGAGAAGCAGTTCCAGAAGAGTTCAACGGTCTCTTCAGCAATTTTTATGGTTATTAGTTAAACCTGACAAAAGGTTTTTTCTGAGTCATTTATTAGTTTCTTGACTTTCTTTTTACAATGACATCCTTTTGCTGACTTTTAAAAAAATTAATTTAGTTGTCTCTTTAATATTAATTTTTAATCCCCTTCCTTTTAATGGATATGGAAGGAAAAAACATACGCCTATGTATCTAGCAGTGGCATTTCTGATATTTTACATATACCATAGAAGGTAGCTTATTTTAGCTCTGTGACAAGTCCTTTTAATTCTTTTCCCAGAACATCCATGCAGAAACTTTCACTGCTCTCTGCTACAAATTATTTGAATTATGGGTCTCTCTTGCTTTAACTCTAATCAGTTTTCTATGCAGAAACTCCACTAATCCAGGTCACTGCAAATTACTGACTTTTCACATTTAACCTTGGCTGCTGACAACATTCTTGAGCTGAACCCAGGTGACACAAAGCTGAATTGATTGGTCCTTTCCAGTGACTGCTCCTTTCATCCTCTTTGCTTGTCCCCTCTGATGGTACTTCCTTTTGTTGCTTTCAAACTTGGCAGGGCTGGCAGGCAGCTTTGGTCTCATAGCATTTTTCTAAGTCTCATGTTAATCACAATACAGTGAAGCAGCCTCATTATCATCCAAGGAAGTTCTGCAGGTGAAGGCTCAAGCTGGCCTGTCTAGCAGTGACGTGGAGATGCCCTGTGCGTGCTTTTATCACATCGTGCGTGCTTTAATCGCATCTCAGCTGTGTCTGCTATTCACTATTTGTGCATCCACCAGCCACCTCCCTCCTAGATTTCCACTTTAGGAAGAACCTGTCTGTGCACAAGCTGACTGTTCCAACAGAACATAAATCGCTTCCAGCAGGGAGATACCTGTATTACAGCTTCTAATTTGACAGAGTTTACATTTTCTACAAGTTCTTACTACCCATCCTTAGCTTTTTTTTTTTTAAAGATTTATTTATTTATGCAAACAAGAGCTAGGGTATAGGCCAGAGATGCGGGGGGTTGGGGAGGGGGGTGAGAGGATTCACCAGAGACAGAACGGGGAACAGAACAGGCAGACTAACTGAAATACACTGCTGAGGGGAGCAGCGGACCAGACATGGGTTTCTCCCTGACTGGCTGGGGATCAAACTCGTGCTTCAGAGGCTGCGGATTGCTTCATAGTGTGGTGCTTAACACCTTGTGCCACCAGGGAGGCCCCCATCCTTAGTTTTTGAATCAGGGATGTGGTATTTATGTCCAGAGAGGTTTTCTTACTTTTCTTTCACCTAAAGATGTTTCATTTTCTTTAAGACACTGATGCTTGTGTCTTGAAGCAGTTCTAAATTTTTAGATATGGCTTTCAAGCTGTCCTATTTTGTAAGGCTCTCTTATTCTCAGTCTAACTTTAATGTTAACATCTGCAAAGAGCTTTGAGATGTTTTCCGGAAGGGTGCAGTATGAACATTTGATTGATGGGTCAATCAATGCATGAACCTTCCCAATGATACTCAAAGTACTTTGCACAGTGCTACAAATGCATCTTATGTCTTATATCCAAATTCATCATTAGCTCAAGAAACTCAAACTTCAGAAACAGACTTGAGACCACTTTTAAGGAAATATGAATGTGTTCTTTACTGTTAGCAAAGCATATATAATGCAATGCATTGTTTATGTATGCTATTATACACTAATAAATTATTAATAAGTTGTGATTTTTTTAATTGTGGGATTCACATAATCTTTGTTTATCTAAAGCAAACTAGTAATAATATACTATTACAATTTAAATATAAATTCCTATGAAGTAACAACTATTGTGTGGTAAAAATGTGACCTTGGTGATGTTTAATTGTCAAAGGTAATGAAGAACAGTAGCACAGATAATTTAAAATAGCAGAAAATAAAGCAATCTTTTCTTTTTGAAATTATAGGCCATTATGTATGAAATGAACCTAGATGAGAGGTATTTATCAGGTAACAATATTTTAAGACATAATTTAAAATACCTTGCTCTGCCTGAATGAAGATATAGAAGCAGATGTAGAAAGAGTGGAGATGCACATTAATTTGCTGTATGTCATTCAAACACAAGGCAAAACTTGTACAAATAATTGAAAGTTGTTTGTATTTGAATCTATCTATTCTGAGTCGCAAATAGGGTGGACTCTTAAATATTACCTTAAAATTACAAACTTAGTTTACAATGAAAAATATGACCCCTGGTGGTGTAGGGGTTAAGATTCAGCACTATCACCTCTATGGCATGAGTTCCATTCCTGGCCAGGGAGCTGACCCACATGGCACAGCAGACCTCTCTCGTTTTGCCTGCTATTCCCCTTAGCAGTGTATTTCAATAGATCTGCCTATTCAGAGTAAAGATACTCTGTCTCTGGTGAATCCCCTGTACCTCTCTCACTCCCCATAGCTCTGGCCATACCCCAGTTCTTCCTTGCAAAAATTAAAAAAAAAAATAAGACTAGGGAACATAAACCTTAATTGCAGTTCTTAAGTGGGAGTTTTCAGGATTCTGCCATAAAATTACAGTTTGATTTTCTTTAAACAACTTCTCAGTGAGTAAAATTTCCAAGAAAATAAAGAATTAAGCTGTCTGCAAATTAAGCTTTCTAATAACAGAAAAAGCAGACTAGATTGAAAAGAACTAATCAATGCTTACCATTAAACTTTTAAATTTTCTATTTTCTGCAATGTGAAAAAAGCCATCTCTTGTTAAAATCTTGATGTGCTTTGCTTCATTATTATACCTGTAGGCAATGAATAACTTATGAATATAAATGTGTTTTTAATCAGTAAAAATCAATAATTACCAGAGGGCCTGCCCCAATAACATTATAGGAATTCATTCTGGAGACAAAATATATACCTATGCCAATATGCTGGTGACAGCTAATTAACAATATATATATTTACTAGATTGGTTAAAGATACAACCAATACCTGAAGTGAGAAGGGGGGTTAGATTTGACCAATCATCATGCCCAATTTATTTAGTAAGTCCAATTTGAGGCTATAGATAAATAAAAATCTATTAATGTATACTCTTAGAATTTACTGGAAACACATACATCAAGTCACCAAAATATAATGTTATGAAATAAATCTAATATACCAATTAGCAGCCTTTAACACTTAATACTGTTTTTCTAACATATTTTCAAGTATTAATGAACTGCCTGGAAGGACGCATTATATCTGCTGCAATTAGAACCTTGATTTTCAACTTCAGTGTAATACATGTCAGATGGTTTATGCAATCATGAAAACAGGAAATCTATTTCTGTAAAAGTACTTGTCCTACTTACTTAATGCTAATTGCATATTCTCCTGACTCTTTCGTCCTGTGCCTCACAAGGTAAGTACTATTTACTCTATTAATAAGTTCAGTCTCTGCCTGCAATCTTTCCATTGCTCCAGCATACCTGCAAGAAACAATGACACAAAGATTTGGGCAATATACCTGCAAGAGAACAGAGCTAAAAACAAGTATAAGTATGAATTTTAATGTGGGAGAAGAGCTAAGTTTGCTTTTACATCTGTATTAACCAATTACATTGCTTCAAAAGAAATGTAGAAAGGGTTTTTGAATTCATGCAAACAAAGATTATCTGAAGCTAACAGTAAAATGAACAGTGCCTAAGAGACAGCGAGCATCGTGTATATATTTATCAAACAAATAAATGAGACAAAGAACAGAGTCAGCAGGTATTGGCGTAAGAGAATCGTGCAGAGTTCAAGGACAAGAAGAAAAAATGAGGGATATCCCTGCATAAAACACACACACACATGACACACATGTGTACATACACACATACACAAACTTTCCAAAATTGCTCCTGTTTTATGTATACCATGAAATGAAATCTCCTTTGAGCATCATGCCCACGGTCAAACAACTCTGCAGTGTTCACACTTCATCCCTGCCTTCATGGTAGCCAAAAGCAGACTGTTAAAGATAAGCATGTTGATTCTCTGTTTCATTTTATGGTCTATATAGGAGAAAAAGTTTACCTTATGGAAACAACTTAGTTTAAAATGTAGAAATAATGAAGAGAATCCTGTTGGTGATATTCAGCTTCCCAATGACTTGAAAACCACACGTCATCATTCAGTGTAATTTTCTCTAAGCAGTTTAGTATTTCTAAAATTGAAGGCATCATTTTCTAGTATAGTTGGTCATTTTGTTCCTGAGCAGAAAGCATTCCACATGAAACTGACTGCTTAGTGTGAATAATCTGTCCAAGTTACTCAAGAAATAAAAAAGTGATTTTAAAATTCTACCATGAAATATCTTTATTTCTACCAATTTTCAACATTGTTCCCTTATCTGACATTTTGACTTTTTGTCATTAAGAACAATACTATTTTAAGTGATCATGTTTTCTGTAGAATTTTACATATTGACAAGGATGCATTTTAAAACAAAGGGTTCAGAATTAGACTTTTAGCAGTGAATTTAATATAATATATACACAAGTTGATTCTCAATGGTGCACATGGGAGACTTATATAATGGTATTATGCAATTTTACTGCAATAAAATCATTTAAATACCGAATAAAGGATTTAAAAGCTCTTCTGCTCCTGAATCGTTCCCAAGTACCTGATTGGATTATCTCATAAAATTTATTTTGTGGCATTAATTCTTATCTCTAAAATCATTACCCTTGTAACTATCATGCCTGGTTATAGGAAAAGTGGTAAAAGGGAAGAAATGTAATCAACATTCTCATGATTTACCACTTCCTGATGTTTTTTCAGTTTGATTCTCCCTGTTATCAGTTCTGTTGTCCAAATTTAACTCCTGTCAGGAATATAGGTTTTAATTCCATGGAAACCTCAAATTTGCCTTACACCAGGTAAAAATGTAACAAAGCTGCTAGTATTTCTTCAAAAAACTAATAATGAAGCCCAGAGAGGGATGTCAAAGAGGGTAGGCTATGATTCTAGAAGGTAAACTTCCATGGTGACTGCTAGGGAAGGCAAGAGGGGCTAATAATGAGATAAAATATGTGGGACAATACATTATTCCTGTAGTTATCTGGTATTTTCCATGCTTTGGTTATGTAATGGAAAAATAATCAGAATATTTAAAAAATATCAAACAACTTAGGTGTTATGTGTACTTGCAAAGTGCATTAGTACAACATGCTCTCAGAATACCTCTTTTACAAACAGGTACTGACATCCAACTTGTGTACATATACTTTAATATCAAGAAAATTCAAGTAGATGCAATCATGTTAAAGGAGCCAAACACAAAATTCAGAGAAACAAATAAAAGTGACTAAATATGCCTATGTATTATATATTGATAGATAATATGCCAATGTGCAAAAGTTTAACTTGAAACACTGGCTAAACTACTTAATTGCATGACCTTAACCTTTGTTTCCTCATCTGTAAAAATAATAAGCTTTCTTAAAAATATGCTGGTGAAATACAATGTATAAAATACCAAGCACATGGTAAATACTCAACACGTACTGGTTATTAGCATATGATGATAACTATTCTGAATCCTAAATACTTTTCTAGTTGAAGATAGCACTGTCCCCATCAAACCATGTCTAAAAGAAAACAATCACTGTCCAGTTGGCTTCCTTTTTTCTATGAATGATAATGTTAATCTCTAAGGGGTAATACAGACATAAAATTTTAGATGTGGATACAAACTGTCCCATACTACATGTGATAAATTGTATTTTAAGGATATACTAATCTTTCTGGGTTAATTTTTCACTTCAAAGAAAGGAATCCCCTGCCTCATGAAATCTATGTTTCTAAAATATAAGATACATATTTGCTTAGTCTAATATCTTTATAAGGTTGCAGTAAACTTTAAATTATGTCAAGTGTGTACACACAGGGACACGCATACACATACATACATACACACACACACACTTTTGGACAAAGATATGGGAAGGTCAACAATATATAAATTCATTATGGTGTTGCATTCAAAGACATCGTTATCCAGGACAAATGGAGATAGGATGTGGTTTACTACCTCTGCATTTAAGGCATTCTCGACCTAGCTACATAAACATGTTTAATGCTTACCAGGGTTGGCAAGAATAATCTACTGGCTTGGGCACCTAGAATATAAAAAGGCAAAAATAGATTAAGTTTACTCAAAGGAAGCTTTTAGAAATCAATCATTAATTCAGTTCAGCTGACTCAGCTCTATAAAACCCTAAGTAACACAGTCCTGGAACTATCCATTGGCAATTTTATACAGAGTGAATCACAGACTATGTCAGATAAGTAGAAAATAATTCATTTCACTTTAATTCATTCTTTCATCCATTTTACTGCCATGATACCTCCAAGGGAAGAGATAACAAGAAAAATATGAATTGGAAACTTTTGGCATTTATTATAAAGGTAGTTGAATCTTATCATAGAAAATTAAAGTGAAAGTATTAACAAAACTATAGAGCACTTTGACTTCTCAAGACATGGGGAAAAAAGGTAAAATCTACAATATACATTGGACATAATCTTATTTTATAAGATTTGAAGTATTTAATTTTTTAAAATTTGAAGTCTTTAATTTGAAGTCTTCCAAGATGAAAACTTTTATTCATGAAAAATTCATGGGGAATATTCATTTTTCCTGTTTCTACAATAGAGCTTTGCAAAAGAGAAAAGCATTGCATTTTCTATGTTTTTTTTTTAAAAAGGAAGAAAACTTCTAGTTGCTGATGGCATCTAGAAAATGAATTAATATTCACAAAATAACAAAAACATACTATGTAGAGGGGGATAAATTTTATAAATTCCTAGTTTGTCTTGTGTAAGGAATTTTTCACAACTGAGTCTTTGATATAGACTGCCATGGCATTCCTCAGTCTTTTTATATTGAGAGATTAAAAATATTGTTATCATCATTTGTAAAAGTAAAATCTGTAGGATTTCAGAAGTCTGATCAATATGATTATTTCTCTAGTTATGTCAGTTTTCATAATTGGCTGTTACTATTTTGGCCTTTCAGGTTGTTCTATATCAAACAATTATCTTTCTCTTTAGAACATCTCTAAAGTTATCTATATTCAAATATTTTTTATCCTATGCATATTTTAAACTTCACCACCATGTAAAACCCTGATACGCAGAAAACAACATTGAAAGTAAATTATACTCATTTGAATCCTACAAATATTTTCCTGTAGTGTCTTAACTTCATAAATGGTTTCCATTTTTGATGTTAGCCTCTCAAATCTGAAGAGAAAAATATTTCCTCCTTCTCTCTCCTCCTCTGGATTCTTTAACTGATGTTTATTCCAAAGCCAATTTCTCAAAATAGAAAAAAGAAGGACAGCAAGGAGAGAAGAGGGTAAAGAACTTCAGCACACTCTGTCAGTGTGTTCTCTTAACTAATTAAGGCTGGAGATTCACAAAAATAAGAGGTGACATAAAATACTAAAGCACAGCAGATATATGAGACCAGCCCTTCTAACTTTTCAGTGAGTATATTTGATGTCTGAAGACCCAGGACCATCTTCTAAGCTATCAACCAGAGTAGGATCCTGTCTTTTTCCATCTTTCATGGGTCTGTCCAATTCTTTTCTGTGTACTTTGGGCTCTTATCTGGACTGATATTTCATATATAAAACTGTAGTTATTTTTCATCTGGATCCTTTCTCACTTTTGAACATATGGTTACTATTTCTTCCTAATGCCCTTCATAAGAGACAGTTACATTGCTATGCTTCTGCAATGGACATAAAATTGTAAAAAAAAAAAAAAAAAAGGAAATATAGCATAAGTATTTTTTAAAAGTATGCACAATATATGCTTCTTCCTGAATACATGTTGTCAAAATTAGATGGTACAGTAAGATATGAACTTTATTTGACAGTAATTTTCTTGCAAAACTTTGAACATATTATTTTGATTGCTTCAAATACTGTTCTAGATAGTGAAGTTCCACTTTCTAATATCTGCATTTGGTTCTTTTTTTAGTTCCTACTTCTCTGTTGAGGTTTCCTTATGACTATTCATTATGAACATAATGCTAACTTTATCATTTGGAACATTTCAGAGTTGTTTTCCTTTGATTACCTTTATTTTTGAGCATGGTGCATGTTTTCTTGCTTTTATGTATATTGAATGATTTATGATAACTACCTTGGACAATTTGAAAGAAGTGCTTAGAGGCTCTGGATTTGGTTATGTTCCTTCAAAGAGTGGTGTCTGTTTTTCTTTTTTTTTTTATTGATACTGGTTTAAAGCATTGTATATGATTTAGAGGTAGTATAAGAGATAAGATCATAGACTTCAGGTGTAAATTATCACACCACACCCAAAACCAAGACACTAAAAGTCCTATACCACAGTCCATTCTGTCCCTCTCCAGTTTGCTCTTCCCCTTCTCCCTTACCATCTGGTAGGCTCAATTCTACAATCAGATTTCTAAGGTTTTTTATTGGTTAGGTTTATCTGATGCTTTGTTTCTTTTCCATGAGTTCCTTTGTTGCTATTGTTTTAAGCTGTCAGTTCACTTAGTTTTACTCCAACTGCAAACTCTGTCTCTTGTGTGGTGAGAAGTAAATGAATTTTCAGTTAAATTCTTTTAGCATAACCTGAGCTACTCGGAGTCCACACCACTCATTCAGAGATTGAGGTAGAGTTTACACAGAGAATTTGGGATTCCCCCACTCTATTTCCTTTCTAAATTTTCCTATTTTCAATCCAGTGAAAAGCCAAGGTGGTTTTGGATCTAAAGTTAGGGATTCTTAGGAGAGATTGCTTTCTTTTTGTTCCCCTTTTTTTATTTTCAACTTATATCCAAGACCAAGTTAACATATCTTCTTCTGAAGGATGGTTTTCTTCTTGTTCACATACTGAGGCTCCTGGATCCACACAGTGATAACAAGCTACTGTGCAGTAGCTCCAGGTTCTCTCTCCAGTCACAATATTACCAGAAACAAAGTTATCTGATTTATGTTCTTCCTGTATTTCCCCCAGTTTAGGTTCTTATCTACATGATTCAGAACTTTTGAGGAGAATAATGTAGGAGAATAATTTTTAAGGTCAGATTAGATGCTCATCACCATTCATTGACCCCTGATATTTTCCAGGATCAAAAGAATTATCATTTTCCAAATTCTCTCAATCTATCCTCTCCCTTCCAACCTCTCCCCTCCAATCTCTTCTACTTACCTTTACCTAACTTGTCCTACAAGCAACAAATGAATCTATAACTTCAGTAAGTAAGCAGTAATATTTTAATAACTATTCATTAAGCTTATGCTATAAAGAAATCATAGTACACCAACCCATTATTACATATTTCTCTACACTCTTTGTCTACTAAGATTCTGAATATACTTCTCCTTTTAGGAATTAACTGGGTCGCCAAATACCACTCAATACAGCCCTACAAGTTGACTTAATTAGTATATACCATTGTTAATTTCTACATTCTGCTAAGGACTCTTGTTTTCTTTTCCCCCCTTTTGTTCATTCACACAACAAAAATGTTTTAAACACATACTATTAGCACACCTCAGGTGCTAATTTTATACCAAATTCATGAGACTATCAAAAGAAAACAGTACTAGGTATATATATATATGTCTAATATTCTTTATTTCTTCAGGTTCTGACCCTCTTATAGGAGGATGCATATGTTTTTTGACACCTATATTCTCCTGCCTACATATAAATATCACCACTTAGGGCATAGGAAGCCTGAATCTTGTTGACACAAATGACAGAAAACTAGCTAAACAAACATTATTATTTATCTAATTAAATAAAAGTAGTATCAGTATCAAACTTCAGTAATTTTTCAAAATCATAGCATATGATAGCATAGCATATATCATAGCATATGTGACATTAGGTCATAGAACCAAGAGAATAGCTAATGCTTTTTTATTCCCTTTGCTTTTGAAATTAATTTCAGTTGCGTGGAGTAAATTATTCCACAGACGATGTTTTGAAATCAATGATGGTAGAGATTCAGCTTAATAATATTAAAATAACTACTCATTTTAGAAACCCAGAAAGGATTGAAATATAAATAAAGCAAGCAAAATAACTTAAGAAGTCCCTTTTTTCCCTTCGAACCACCAACTCCCTTATATTAGTAAAGGAATTTCATTTACTTGAAGTCAAGAACTTAAAAACTTCTGTAGAAAAATCTACCCTAAACACTAAATTATAATGAGAATGTCACTTTAATCAGAAATTTATAAATTTCTGAAAGCATCAGAGAGTACATTTTATGTTATATTCATCCATAATATTATGTGAGTAAATACTTTTTCATTTTATGCTCCTTGTATCTACCCATGTGTTTCATGGTTTCAGAAAATTTCATTATGTTAAATAAACAATAATGACAAACTAAAGCACAGAAAAATGTATTTAGATATTTGATTGAAGAATCTGAACTTTCATGCTTTCTAGCATGCTTTCAAACACACTAGTTGAAGTATAATATTTCTCTGCAACCCAAATTAAAAACAGATTGGACCCTGCCACTCATCTCAATGGGAAACATGCAATACATCTAATCTATAGCTTTGGTTTATTCCTTCTAAAACCCTGTAGAAATTAAATTTTTTTAATTCTACTGTTAAATTTGCCTCTTAAATAGACTCCCTTGACATTTGAAAATATCATAGTGATTTTGGAATTTTAGTAACATTGGCCATTAACATTTCAACATATAATAATATTTCAGGGAAATATTAATAAAATTAACAAGCAACCTAACTAGTATTGTTTGTACATTCTTATACAATCAATACACCATCAAAAAAAGAAAACAAAGTAAGAAATAAAATACTTGTACTTACACATGGGCAAGGCTTGACAGCATCACTTGGAAAAAATCCAACCTCTCCGGATGCCAAGTTTCTACCCTAAATTATATCCAAAAAAATGCCAACATTGAGAACAAATTTACCATAAACAACAAACCTATAATACTGTACACATAGTGTTGTCGCTCAGAATTCTCAGAATAACTTACATGTTATTTCCAGTGCTAAGTTGTAACCTACTCTAGCTCATGAAGCGATTCATAAGCAGACTTTAAAAAAAAAAATTATTTTAGCTGTGGCTTCAGATCTGGTTATACAGCAAGAATTCAACTTTGACTTTTTACTATACTCTCAATCCTGTATAGAGATAATGGCATATGCTATCTTTGAATTTTATATTTATTAGAAGTAGAACATATTGGTTTTGTGCATATTCATCATTAATTAGGAATCTGATTTAAATATTTACTTCTGGTGTCTCTAATGGAACTCATGAGCACTCACTCTAATAAGACAAGAGACATTTCAAAGCATGTGGAAATGGAAAACAAAGCATGATATGATGTTTTAGATGATTTTCAGATTTAAGAGAAAGGAAGAGAATAATAATGTAGTGAGAGGACAGTTAAAGTGTTAGAAGAAAGGACTGTAATTCAAAATAGCACTGGAAATGAGAAAAGAGGGAAGAAATTAATAAAATAAGAAAAACCTAAGCACAAAATGGGCAAAAAAAACAAAAAAAAAAAAAACACAGTGAAATTAGTCTTGGACACCTTTGGTCAAATAAAAAAATCACATAGCACTGACCAAACAACAGCTGCCAACTTTTCCAGAAAGACAAATGATACCCAAAACATACTGTAACAACCAAAACATATAATTCAAAAGATCTCATGAGACGACTTCTGTTCCAGAAATTGGGCTTTTTAATTTGCTGTTTAACAGTTGCTAGGTTCTCAGAACCTCATATAATTAAATAGTATTATGATTGTATATTGCATGTTCTATTATTTTTGTGAGGTACAAAAAGCAGTCAGAAAACTCTCTCTCTCTTAAAGTAGTATCCCTTTCTACCCACAGAGTTTGCAAAGTAAGTTTTGAAGAGTAGGAATCTAGAATTGCAGAAAAGCATGAGAAGAGGAGAGGGGAAAAGGAGAGACAGGAAGGTGGGGCTTGAAAAGAAAAAGGACCAAATGGAGTAGAAAGGAGGGAATGGTCAGAGGCAGGAGCAAGTAGAGAGAAGAGGGGTTGGGGGTAGGACAGAAAGACCAATTAATAACCAAGAGAGAAGATATTAAACTTGACAAGGTTCTAAAACTGCACAGCAATCACATATCAGCAGAAAAGTAAATGAACAATATTCATTAATTTTTCAACATATGCAGTACCTTATAATTTTATGGGATACAGAGGAAAATGTAAAAATTTATGACATGATTCTTCTTTGCCCCTATGTTTTCAAAGCAAATACATGTATATACTTTATTATAATACAAGATAGAAAAAAGCTAAACCCTGTTAACAGAGGAAAAGCTACAGAAATTTAAAGGATTGACTGAATATGGGAGGTTTGTCTGAAGGCTAGGTGAAAGAGGTGCTCAAGAATGTAAAGTTTAAGGGCTTATGGAAATGCAGGCGAACATCCTGGGGACATAAAATAACAAGAGAAAGGCACAGGGATAGAAAATTATAGGATATGCTTTGGAAATGCAAGTAGTTCACTTTAAATGGAGTCGGAAAATAGTTGATACTTACTGAACCTTTACTATTCAGGACACTGCTCTTGGTGAATCATTTATTCCTTACAATGTATCTTTTATGTTGGGTTGAATTACTATCTCTGTTTTAGCGGTGAGGAAATTGGACACAAAGAAGTTAAACGATTTTCCCATGATCACAGCGCTAGAAAGTGACAAAACCAGAGTTCAAATTCTTAGGCTCTATGAGTTTTTCACTGTCTCTCTATATAAACAAAAAGTTCATAAAATAAGGACTTGGGAAATAAAGCTTACAGGAAGCAAGGAACCAGTCTGACTATGATAGCTGAATTTCTCCCTGGCAATGGGGTTTTAGTAAATGTGCCTTTTTTTTTTTTAGAAGAATTAAACTGACATCAGTGCGGAAGCTGGCTTACTGCTGGGCATGATTTTGTAGATGAGGATATCACGAGACAAGCTATACCACTGCAAGGATAGAGGGACTGGATAGGGTTGGGGGACTGGAAATAAAAGACTGGGGTGGAAGTCAGGGATGGAGATGATTATATAATCCATCTAAACAGATGATACAGCTTTAGATGGCAATCATCTAGAGGGAAAACTTAATCACAAGAGCAAAACTGTCATGAAAGGAAATACAGGGAGATGATGGAAGGCAGAACTTACAAAGATTAGAGTAACTAGAAGGAAGGAAGGAAACACCAAGAGGGACAAGAATCATCACAGAGAATGATGGCAGTGCCTAACCAAGGTCAGAGGAAATGCTTCTCTAATTATCTGTATTAGGTAAGATCTTTAAGTTGCTGTATGTTAAGCATGGTATTGAGAAGCAAGTAAGTATGATATTTGGGAACTGTTCAACTAACCATCCTTTATATATAAAAGCACTTCAATGCTATCTGAGAACAAAATACAAGGGTATGTGGATTGCAGTTACAGACTGGTAGAGGCTCAAAAGAGAAGAAGAAGAATTGTTTTAAAAGATGGCTGAAGTTACATTTCCTCACTGATTCTGATGCGATGTCAGTGTTTGCTTCCAAATTTGTTCAATGATTTCTACTTAGTAAGGGGAAGAGCCATGCTACAATATTTGGAAGATTCAAAACAAAGGAGTGTGTAGGAGGGTGTCTGGGTTCCCCAGTGGATGTGTGTGGGTTGTACATTGATAATTCATTAATCTAATGGGTGGAGCAGCTGTCAATCCCCTACATACTGCTATGAAATAAACCACTTTCAAAGCCAATGATTTAATGCCATTAATTTACCTGATGATCTACGCGATGCTTTTAGTAACCTTGATGAGAGACATCTAGCTGAATTTCCTTCTTTATATTCCTGTGTAGGCATTTTATTCTGGGTCCAATAATCAAATTGTCTTTTTTTTTTTAACTCATATTACCAATGCCAGAGATAGGCAATCTTTTTTTAAGTTATCCTCCTGTCTGATATTTGTTCTTGTGAGTCCTTTAACATCTTCAAGGTTAACTTGAATACATTATTTTATAGTTATATGTCATCTGATATATCATACGGTGTTATCTTTATATGCATTTATTCTGCAGGACATGCTCTATATTATGTGATGGGTCTTTGGTAAATATAACTGTACATCCTGGGTCATTCTTATGAAAATGCTTTCTTTGGAAATTACCTGAGTAAACAGGTTATGGGTTGCATATGGTAAGAAAAGATGCATCTTTATAATTTTCATTAAATAAATTAGAATAGACACAAAGCAAAATAATATTAAATTATCATTTATAAAATAATGCCTTTTTCCTGTAAAGCAAATTGTTTCCTGTAGAAAAATGTATCAAATTAAATTTATTGATAACTTTCTCTGAAATTCTTGAACATCAAAAACATAAAGGTATAGTTGGGCACTTATTTATTTCTACGTGACCTTACATTTTAACTATTTTTCATTTTTCTTCTATAAGAATCCACCATGAATTATAATGAATTGAAATGACTTTAAATTTGCTGGTAGAAATGATATATACAATCTTCCTATATGAAAAAAAACATTAATGTATGCTGAATGGCAGAGCTAAAATAGCATTTTTAAACCCATAAACAAGAATGGCTTAAAATGACAGAGGATGTCCTCCAAAAATCTTAATCATAAATTACTTGGCTCCCAACTTTGTGAAAAAGAAGAAAGAATTGCTTTAAGAAAAATACAGTGTCTTTTCCCTGTGGCTCATTTATCCCCTTAATACCACCTGGATTGGAGCTTTAATGCACTCCTGGAATAGCACTGAACAATTTGAAACAGATGTGGTAAGCTGAATGTAAAAGGGACAGATTAATGGTTATTTATGAAAGATTGGAAATTCTCCCAAGTTACAATGCCCTAAACACTTTCAACGTATGCAGGATGGTGCTGTGGAGATTACTAAGCAATTTATCACACATGGGTAATGGCTAGGGTGACTGTCACCCTGCTTAGTCACACTTCCACTGTCAGAAATACATAGTCTGAGTGCATGAGGGAAGGAGACATACAGTATGACCGCAAATTTTGAGAACACAGGCTAATATATAAATTAGTTTAGTGATTGGATGGATGGATGATGGGTGGACAGAAAGAATAGTGCCTGTAGCAAGCACACTTTTTGTTTTATTCTGACAGGTTTTGTAAGACAAACAATGGAACCAAAGGACAAGAAAAAGAGGGCAAACACTCAGTCTGAAATTGACCTTAGTAAGAAGCAATCTGTGATCACAGCTATAGCCATGTCCTAACCACTGTCTGTAGGTAGATACGGTGGTGCTGTTCTTAGAAAACATATAAAGGCAATATCATATAGTAGGGCTATGGCTTCAGATAATCTTATTCTATTCTCAGTTCTGCTACTAAAAAAAAAAAAAAAAAACTGTAAATGTAGACAAGTTTCAATGGTAAAAGAAGGATAATGATGAGACCTGTCACACATGCCTGAACCAGGGTGAGTGAGGGTCACACAAAGAACATGTGTAAAAGCACTCCATACAGGGCCTCCCCTGGTGGCGCAGTGGTTGAGCGCTGGGCTGCGAGGCTGCCCATAGCCTCTGCAGCACCAGTTTGTTCCCACGCCACCAGTGAGGGTCCCTCAAAAAAAAAAAATCCATATATGCTAAAAATAGCATTTTCTACATTGTCCATTGCCTTTTGTTTATTCTCAATTTTCACTTCTAACTTTTCATTTTTGTTGGCCTATTCATGTGTTATTAGGACATGCTTAGTCCTGTGTAAAATCCTGACCATCCTTCTTGTACTCAGGCAAGTTTGCTGAGTCACAAGTACCTGAGACTCTCAGATAACATTCATCTGAAAAGGAAATACTGCATTCCAGATAGTCCATTTCTTTATCTTAAATTTCTCAATGCCTTCTTGCA